AGCAGTTGAGAAGGGAGGAGCCGCGCACCAGCCCCATACAAGATTAGGGGGTCTCTGCTGACCTCCACGCCGCACCCGACCCCCAGGGGAGGAAAGACAGGAAAAGCTGAGGGCCTGACCAGGGAGGAGACAAAGGGTGGGTAGAGGAGTAGCCCCCAGGTGGGACTGGCAGCCAGACTGAAGGCGCCTCACAGGGACCCGCTGGGTGGCACAGGGGACCTCCATCCACCTTAAGAGCTGGCCCTCACCCCTGAGTGGGGCCCACACAGGCCTGTCCCCTCCACAGAGGCCAGGTCCCTCAGGTTCTGCCCAGGGGCCTCCTGCCAAAGCCCAGCCCCCAGGACTAAGGGACGAGGGGGTGACACCACAAGGCAATAGGGTCCTCCCACCCACCCATGAGGAAAAATGGTTCTGTGCTGGACCATGCACTGGATGCAGGAGCATGCTTGTCAGGCACCTGGGTGAGACCCAGGACTTGACCCCATCTGTACTATCTGGCAGATCCATCCGGAGAGCTGAGGAGGAAGGCATGTCACCTGTTGTGTGTGTGTGTGGGGGGAAATAGGCTCAGCAGGGGAGGGGGCGGCGGCAAGGGGCTCACACTGGAGTGGGTGAGCAATGGGGTCCTGGGTGTCAAGCCACCCACAGTGTTTGGGAGCAAGACTAACCTCATTGGTTAGCAGTGGGCCCCCTAGGTGTCTGTGACTCCTCCCAGGCTGGGAGAGACTTCTCTGGAGCTGGGCCCAGGTGGGACATGGACAGCAGGTGAAACCATGACGGAGGGCAGTGAGGTCGTCGTGGGAGCCTGCCTGCCCTGCTATGGAGATAGCCGACAGCACACAGCCAGGAAGGCTCCCGTCACATCTCCCAGGGGTACCTATGACCAGATGACCCCGCTGGGTTCCTGGGTAGGGCAGCTGGGGTGTGGACACAGAACAGGGGAGATGGGGCAAGGGGGGGCAGCTTCGGAACTCAGTGGGAGAGCAGGCTCAGAATTAGCAGGGTGAGTTGGGTGGGGAGGCTGGGCAAAGGCATGTTGACACCCTTCAGGTGGGCTCTGGTGGGCACAGCTGATCCCTCGTTAACCCTGCCAGAGTGTATCCCCCATGTTGGGCACCACAGGAACGCAAGGACTGGGCTCCAGGCTGGCAGGACAGGCACACCAAGGTGGGGCCCAATGGCAGGGCCAGCGGATGTCCAGACAGCCCCTGGAGGAGACCAACCAGTGGTCCGGCCACTGCTGGGGGACTCAGCTTCATTCAGACAAGGACAGACACATTGGCACCTCACAACAGCAACAGCCAAAGGGGACAGGGTCAACACAAAGGCACAGACACAAGGTCGTCATAGTGGAGCTCGAGGTTTGAATTTCTCCTCGGTTCTTTCAGCTGAAAGCATGCTGGGCGTCGTACAGCCACCGCGGGAAGCAGTATGGTGCCACCCCCGACGCCACAGACTATGGAAGAGAAACCCCACACCACGCAGCCACCCTCCGCCGGGCACGCACCCTAAAGGAGGAAGGGTGTGGCAGGAACAGACAGGTGCGCCCCATGTTCACCTGCGAGCCGCTCGCAATAGCAGGAAGACAGCAGCAGCCCGCGTGCCCCTCGGTGAAGGGGGCTGGTGTAAAGAAACGCTGGTGCACGCGCAGGAAGGGACACGCCGCGTCCCTTGGGGACCAGGAGGAAACCATGCCATGCCTCGTGGCATGGATAGACCCAGAGGGGGTCACGGCCAGTGAAATCATTCACGCAGAAGAGAGCAAGTATGAGACCACTGGCATGAGTGACAGATATATGCACACATGTGCAGTTGGCTGGACCGCGATGGGGCGATGGGTGCTAAGCCTGCCGCCATAGACAGCTGGCAGGGAGGAATCGGAGTCGGTGCAGGACAAGCTTTGGCAGGTGTTGATGACCAATTTAAATTGTTCTATACAAGGTTGAGAGTCCACAAGGTGACCTCCTTCCTAATTTAGAATACTGAACAAGGGCCCGCGGGGTGCGTCCTTCCTTTTGGGTTTTCTAACTGTGGACTTGTGCACATTTCACCGTAATGCTTTGTCTCTCAAGCTGCCCTCTGACATGTTCTATGCCACCCTTTGACGTCATCATTTCTCCCATTTGTTTTAGCTGCTCTGCGATCAAGCGCAAGTTTCAGTCTCTTTGGACATCCACTTCGATCTTTTCTTCCTTTCTTGTCACGGGAGTGACTCTTGCATCCTTCACGAAGGGTGTTTGTGATGTCCTCCCACACGTACCAGGTCTCCTGTCGTCCGTGGTCAGTGTGTCAAATCTCTCCTTGAGATGCATTGGTAATTCATGTGGGATGATTCCAAGGTGGCTCTCGTGAACTTGTTTCAATTTTCTCCAACTTCAACCTGAACTTGCATTTGGATGATTGCTGGTGTGGTGCACCATTGGCCCCTGGCCTGGTTTCAGTGACTGCCCTTCGGCTGCTCCATCGTCTCCTCCTACAGACGTGCCCGAGTGACTTCTGTGTACCACCTGGTGGCCTTCACTTGCATCGTCACTGTCCATGTTGTGAAACAAGCATTTGTGAAGAAGAAGTCACTGGTCTTGCAAAATTCAGTCTGGCACGTGGTCTCCAGCTTCCTTTCTTTCTGTCACCAAGACTGTGTTCCGAATACTTTTGTTGCCTCTTTCTGAATTTTGCATCCCAATTATCACTGCATCTTGACTGTGTGCTTACTTAATTTCAGACTGAAGAAGTTGCTGGAATTGTTCGACTTCTTCATCGTGAGCTTTAGTGGTTAGAGCATAACCCTGAACTGGCTGGATTTCCATGTTTGTTGCACCAACTGGATTTCCTTGTACGCGTTTACATATAATCCTATCACAGTCAGCACTGCACGTCAAGACAGCCCGCGAAATGTCCTCTATTGACGTAACTCCCTGTGGAGACGTCTCAGGCTGTGCCCCGGGAAACGGGGAAGACAGGGGGAGGGCAGGGAGAGGGCTTTGCTGGGCAGGCTGCACAGCGTCTCACGAAGGAGGAGGAGGGCATTACGCTTCCCAGTCTCCCCCCAGGTGAAACTCGGGTCAGGAGGGAACACTGGGCTCACGAGAGGCGCTGTGCTCCGACATGCCAGGCTGAGGCAGGGCACCAGGGCTTTCACCAGGCCTCGGGCCTTGGAGAGCAGCGCCCTGCCCCTCGTTTACCCGTGTCCCCTGGTCTGGGCTGGAAGCCTAGGGCAGTTATTGTGTGGGCATATGTGTCCCTGGCAGGATGGCCAGGCCAGGTGTTGACCTGCAGCGCCACCTATGGGCTGCCGTGTCTGCTCAGCCCTCTGGAGCACAGTGTGCAGATGGGTGCTCAGCTAGCTGGGCAAGAGGGGCCAGGGCGGGGAAGTCGTGGGGCTGCCGCTACTCCCTGGGAGGCCCGGCGGCAGGCGGTCACCACTATGGCCTCTGCATCTGCAACCTCTCCCCCCAGCACTTGTGCCCGTGTGGTTCCGGGACCCTGAGGCCAGTCTGTCCTGACAGAGAGCCTGCTCACTGGTCTGAGGCCGCTGCAATGCCATGCTGTGGCCCCCAATCCTTGGCCTGGTCATCTACCAGTTTACAGACAGGACATTTGAGGCTGAGGTAGGGGGAGTAGAGGGCTGCTCCCTGCTGCTAGCTGGTGGGGTGACCCCCAAGGCAGGGCCCACGGGGAAAGAATGCTCAAGGGGTCACCCAGCCTCCTGTGGCGACAGGGAAGGTGGGAGAGTGACGAGTGGAGATCCCCAGGGCAGCCAGAAGCCCACGGGGCGAGGAAGCTTGAAGGCTGGACCCCTGGGGTGCATTCCAGGGAGCTGACCTTGCAGCCCTCTGGGTTGGAGGGTGGAAAGAGGGGAAGTCCAGAGAAGGGAGGAGAGATGAGGAAGCCCCCCGCCGTGCTCCCCACCCAGCCCCCAAGTGACTGCCTACCACCCCAGGACATGGAGGGGCTCAGGGCAGGGTTGGGGGCAACTGTTTCCCAAACCCCAGCTCAGCCCTGGAGAAATGACCTTTGAACGGGACGGACAAACCCTGCCCACCAGGTGAGGTGTTTTTTGGAGCCCATAGGGGTGGGGCTGCAGCCTGGGGACCCCCCAAGGCCCCTCGCACAGTGCTAGGCTTTGTCACCGCCTATGGTGGGGACACATGGACCCTTGGGCTCCGACTACAGCCAGTGGCCGCCGGGGTGCTCCATCCTTGGTGTAGCGGGGGCCTGTTCATGAGCACCCACGTGGTTCAGGTGGGCCCATGTTCTGACAGCTAGGCCCCCGGACAGTTAGCAGCGCCAGCCTCACAAATGCTGTGAGCCACGGTGGTGGGAGGGTGTCCACACAAGTTGCAGGGACTTTTCCCAAGACCAAGGTCCCTCCAGGGTTCCGGAGACCAGACAAACTGGGAGGACAAACCTCCACGTGGGGGCCCAGGTCAGCCCAAGGTGGGCACCTGGGGCAGGGGCTGGGGGAGAAGTGGGGGTGCGTGGGGAGCCTGCAGCAGCCATGCCACTGGTGTACGGATGGGCTGGGGGGCGGGGCTCTGACCCTATGCTATATTCAGTGGGAGCTTTTCCAGCGTCATGCAAAGATGACCTTTCCCGAGGGCCCTTTCCTGTGCCCTTGACAAACCCCCACAGCAGGGGGGCGGGGAGGGGGGAGCCAGGAGGCCCCCCCACAGTTCCATCCCAGCTTCGTGAGACTATACAGAGAGCTGCTTGCTTATCTGCGGGACCCCCCTTCCCCACCACTGCGCACTTCAACACCATGTCTGGGGTCCAGCTCAGAGTAAGGACGTCCTTTAGGACCCAGGCAGGACGTGGGGCCCTTCATGCGGATGGAGGGGGGGATCGCCATCAGGACTGGGAGTCACCCATTAGGAGCAGGGGACCTTTTGGAGGCCAGAGGGCTGGCATCAGGATGGGGAAGGCAGCCTGCCCCAGCAGAAGAGAGGCAGGGGCAGCCCGCAGGGCCTGCACCCTTTGAGCCGGCCACCAACCACGCCGCCTTCCAACGGTCAGCTTTATTAGAAAGGGCTGTATCAAAATAGAGGGCTCTGGGGGAGGTGGGTTTCTGCAGCCGAGGCTGAATAATTTAAGGGCAGGTCTGGTGTCTTCTGACGCAGCCATGTTATAGGTCTTCATGGGGTGGGGGCTGTATCAGCCTCTCTCCTTCCGTTTCTGTCAAGAAATAAACACGTGTCACTGAGGGAGGTGGCTGGGGACAGTCAGCCAGCCTCAAGAGGTTCACCCAGCTCCAGGATACCTGAGGCTCCTGTGTGGGGACCCAGGTGCTGGATGACCAGGTGCCCAGCAGGAGGGTAGGCAGGTTTTGAGGAGGGGCTGGGTGGCAGGCAGCCAGTCACCCACCCCAGCCTCAACAAGAGGACTCTTGGGCAGCAGCAGCCCTGTGGGGACCAGGAAGGGTACTCCTGACCACCAGGTGACCTTGGTGTGATGCGTCCAGAGGCAGTCTGCTGCACCTCTGGGTAGAGAGGCAGGGGTCTGAGGACCCTGCACAGCCAGACGAGATGACACACCACGCCAGGCCTGCTCTACAAGCAGCACCGATGGTGCCCGTGGACAGTCCTGCCCCATATCCCCCTGCTCCCCCACTGGGCAGGGGCACACACGCGTGTCAGGTGACCTCCCAGGAGCACCCCCCAGGCAGGACCAGTGACAGTGCCTGTAGCAAAGGAGGGAGGCTGGTGTGTGACAGCCACACAGACCTCAAAGGCACAGGGGTTTGGAGAAAGTGCATCTGTGGAGGGACTGGCAGGTCCCACAGGCAGACAGCCCCCCACCCTGGCCAGTGCAAAGAGAGACAGGACGGCTCCAGCGCCCAGTGCAGGCAGCAATGGGTGCGCCATGAGGTGGGGATAAGGCCCTTGGGACACAGCACTGGGATTGGTGTCTACTCTCTGGGCAGGTTGCTCCCCGACAACTGGAGCTGGGGCCGAGCCAGCCCCAGGGGCCAGCTTTGCAGCACCGTCTGCCCCCAAGCACTGGTGCCCTGCCTGTGGCCTCACAGACAGCACCCAACAGCACCCGCACCGGCAGGGAGGGCATGCGCAGGAGCTTCCCGCACCAGCCTCCGGGCTGCACTCTCCTTCTGGAGCCTCCTTGGGCAGCCACGGTGTGTGTGGAGTCTTGTGCCTGGTGTCCTGGGCGGCACACTTTCCTGGCACTGCCCTCAGTTCTGGCTGTGTGGGGAAGCTGCCCTGCGTGGGTCCTTGCTCTCTGCGGAGGGTCAAGTTCTTCTTGTGGTCTCTGGTGCTCGACTTTCACACTACAGGTCTCCAGGCTGGGAGCTCCATCCTCCTGTGTCCTGCTCAGGACCCAGACCTTCGGGACTCGGAACTCATCTCATTTACCCTGGAAACCTGGGCCTCTCCTCCCTCCCCATTCTCTTTCAGGACTTTCATGAGAATCCGAGTGGCCTTCTCATCCGCTCCTCCACCCGCTCCAAGCCATTCTTTCTGCACAGCATCTGGCAATCCGCCCAGATGTTTTCCAGTTCATTCATTCCACCTCCACCTGACTCATGGGCCATCAACTCCTTCACTGAGCTTGAAATGTCCATGATTTTGCTTCCCGTCTCCCAAACTCCCATCCGGTTTGATTTCTTGCAAAGCCTTTCTGGTCTGCTGACAGCTTTGTTCACAGCTCAGCTTTCAGGTGCTTCTTTTGAGTGTGTACACTGCCGAGCCGTGCTCAGCAACCGCCTGCCAGTCTCTGTGTGGCCGCCCTGCAACGCACGCTGTACAGGAGTGTTAATCTCAGGGGGTATGTTCATTGCAGAGCCCATGCCCAGCAACCGCCTGCCGGGTCTCTGTATGGCTGGCCCGGCAGTGGACACGGTCCAGGCTCTGATGCAGGAGCCCAGCCACCCCACCGCAGGGCCAACTTCTGTGTCTGCTTCAAGGCGGGGAGCTCCTGAGTCATGTGCAGGTGGTTACTGCCCTCACCCCGCCCACTCCAGCTCGGTGTGGCTGGGCTGTGGCCAAGAGCCCTGCCCCCGCTGCCCCACTCACCGCCCTCCACTGTGGGCACACAGGCGCCGTCAGTCTCCTTGTAGCCCTCGGGGCACACGCAGACGAAGCTCCCCGGGGTGTTGTAGCAGTTCTCATTCTCACGCAGACACGGCCCTTCTGGGTGTGAGCACTCGTCTACGTCTGCAACACAAGGCCCTCGCGTGAGCGCCGGAGCCCCAGGCCACGGGACCCACGTGCCACAGATGCCCTGTGCCTCAAAACACACCGGTGTGGACTGGGTGGGACCTCACGCCCGCCAACTATGGAAGCGGGACACCCAAGACCTCGGCTGGCACCCTGCGCAGTGGCAAGGCAGCCAGACACTCCCTGGAGGACCCAGCCTGCAGGCATGTGAACAAATGTGACCAGGGGTGCACGCGGCGGCATACTTGGGTCCCCCCCACATGCATGAGAGCTAGAAGCCTGGTCACCAGAGTCACTCACTCACGCCCGCACTGTGACCACACCACAGGGGACTGCAGGCAGCCCTGGCACGCCTCTTACCTGAGCACTGGCCGCTCTCGTCCTTGGCGTAGCCGGGAACGCACTCCTTGCACTTCCCGGGACCTTTGCCTGTGCACCCCACACACGTAGCGTCACAGTCTAGAGAGGGGACACACGGGATGTCAGGCCCTGCTCAATCAGGGCCGACCGGCAGCCGTGGACAGATGTCATGCTCTCTGCCATGTGTCCTGAACCCCTGGTAGAGTCCGATTCCAGCTGCTGTGGGAGCAGCGGTGCCCACCCCTCCTCTGGTCAGACTGGAAGTGGACACATGGGGTCTTCTCAGCTGGCTGCTGTGACTGGCACAGACTCCAGTTGCCTGCAGTGCCAGGCTGGCCCATCTTCCTCGGCACCTCTGGTGGTCCTGAAGCTCTAGCCTGTCCATGCCTATGAGGGACTCAGGAGGAATGGTGAGGGACGACCCGGAGGCTCCCAGGGTGTGGCTGACTGCCACCACCAGCCAAGCAGCTGGCTCCTGAGACCAGCCAGGCACGAGCTTCCACCAGAAAGTCACTCCAAGTTTGTCACTGAGGACAGTGACTGCTGAAGCCACGGTGTAGATGCCACGGTTGGCACGGGTTGGGATTGGCACCACAGTGCCCGGAGAGCCCTTGCGTAGCTGCTTGGCTGAGCGCAGGGCCTCCCTCTCCCCTCACAGACATTCCTGTTCTCTGAAAACTGAGCCTGGACTCACGTGACCCTGCAGGGCAGGGCAGGGCTGTCCCTGAGCGTTACAGAGTGGAACTGGGTAGGCTCCCACGCAGCAGCTGGTGAATTTGAACTGCTGCCCTTGTAGCTAGCTACCCAACGGAGAAACACTAGCCACCAGGGCTCCCTGAGTTCTCTGAGGTAACGGCTGTCACCTGCAACATTTACCCTCTGGGGCCACACGGCCACCTGGTAGGCAGGGGGAGTGAGCCGGGTCCCGCCTCTCCTAGAGAGGCTCTGTCCCCAGGTAAGAGCAAAGGCCCCTCTGGGAGGGGGAGAGGCCCCATCCTCCTGGACCAGACACCACGCCCCTCGGGATGGGGTCCTCCTCCTCTAAATAAGAAGCCCCCACCCCTCTGGGTGGGCCCCTGCCAGCTAGGACTCCTCGGGGGCCAAGGGACCCACCTTCGCAGGAGTAGGAACTAGGGACGTTCTCGCAGTACTGGTTCTCGTCGCAGGGAGCCGTCTCTGCGGTGCACTCGTCCACATCTGGGGCAGACACAGCGGAAGTGAGGCTGTGCCCGCCCGCGGGTCCCAGAGCGCCCCCAGCCTCACGCTTGCATCCACTCTGCACCTTCCCTTCCGGCCTGACCTGGGCACACAGCCCAGCTCTGGGGGCAAGGGTATAGGGCCTGCAGCAGGCCTGGGCCTGTTCAAGGAGCTGCAGGGTAGGGGTGGGAGACTGGGGACCCCGGGCCTCACCCACGCATGCATCTTGCTGGTACGCCCAGCCAGTCTCGCACTCGGTGCAGTCCCGTTCAGTAGGGCCGGTGCACGTCTTGCAGGCCTCGTGGCAGGCTGGATGAGGGGACAGGCAGGTGAGAGGGCTCTCGGAGAGGCACACCCTCCCCAAAGCCCCCAAACCGAGGGAGCAGAGGCAGGGAACCCCGGGACCCCGCCACACCTCTGCAGACGCTGTGTGTGTCGTTGCGCAGTGCGCTGAAGTAGCCATCCAGACAGTCTGCGCACAGCGCCCCGCTGTAGCCCATGTGGCACTGGCAGGCCCCGTCTCCCTGCCGGCTACCTGCGCCGTCACACTGCCCATTCCCGCTGCAGGGCCTCTGGGGGCCACCAGGGCATGCTGGGGAGGCAGGAGGGTGCCCCTGGAGCAACAGCCCTGCAGTGGCCCCATGTTCCTTCCCAGAGGCCCCCGGGTCCCTAGGACATGTGCTGTTACATCACAACGCCCCCAGACCCCCCAGCCACACAGAGTCGGGAGAAGGAGGGGGGAGTGGCACAGTCCCATGCTGGGAGTGGGCTGTCAGGGTTGGCACAGCTCCTGATTTCATGGACACTGTGGGCCTGTGCAGACGTGGAAGTACAGTGGGGTCCATCACCAGGAGTGACGGTGAGCAGTGTTGCCCTGGGCGCCCCAGGAGAGGGGACACAAGGGGCGTCTCAGCTGTGCACCTTCCACCTGCTGACAGCCAGACCCTCTCACCTTGGGAGCCCCTAAGCTCCTGGGGAAGGGCCCATCCTCACATGCGCCCTTCATACCAGTCCCTTCCTCCCAGGGCTGCAGGGAGCTGTTGGGTGAGGGCCTGGGAGGCATACCCCGGCAGTCGGGCCCGTAGGTCCCTGGAGAGCAGCAGAACTTGAGCGTCTCCACGCAGAACCACTCAAACAGGTCGGGGGCCTGCTTCTGTCTAAGGATCGAGAGTGCAGTCAGGCCTCGCAGGTGCAGGCACCGATGGGGGATGGGTGGCCACCGACTCTCCACCCTAAGGCCCTGGGAGGAAGCAGCCTCATGCTGGGTCATCACCCAGGCTTCCAGGAGGGACCCCAGAGTGCCTGGGTCAAGTCACTCACAGCTGTAGCCACCAAGAGGTGTGGGGTGAGGGGTGGGGGTGCTGGGCCCCATCACCCACAGATCCCAGGCCTCCAGGCAGTGTGGGGTAGAGGTGGGGGTCCTGGGTCCCATCATTCACAGCCCCCAGGCCTCTGGGCTGTTTTGAGAGGGTAGAGAGGGGTCCCTGGAGTGGGGTCACCCACAGCCCCCAGGGAGTGTGCGACAGGGGGGGCACCTGGGCGCGGTCACTCACAGCTGTAGCCACCAGGCCTCCAGGAGGCCCTCGTGCTCCTCCAGCAGGCGGTTGCACTCGAAGTCGCTGCTCTCACACAGGCCCTCCAGGATCTCCAGCAGGCGGATCTCACTGAAGGGGGCGGGGCGTGGGGAACGCTGGGCGGGGCGCTGAGGCTGAGGGCCACCCACCCTCGCCCAGGTGACAGGGCGCCAGCAGGCCCACCACAGCTGTGTGTGACGGTGGTGAGGTGGGGGTCGCTGGGGTGTGCAGGGGCTGGCAGAGGGGCACCCACCTGAACTCATACTTTGACAAAGACTTTTCCTCCCAGGCTGTGTTCCCGCCACCGAAGTTCTTCTTCACCGTGTCTGCCATGCCCTACGGGACAGGACCGTCAGGGCTCAGGGCTGCCCACTTGGGGCCTCTGCCACCCCAGCTCCCAGTATGGGTGACCCTCAGCTCGAGGCGTCCATCGCGGGGTGTGGGGCCCTCATTATGGACTGTCCCACACATCCCAGTGCAGGGAATCCCAGCCTCCAGGCCAGAGTGCCTGGCTCCCAACAGGTGTTCAGCCCTAACTGTGGGTGCCCACCCTCCATCTCAGGGTGCCTGCCTCATGTTCCCGATCACGGAGTGTCCCGGCCCCATCACCGGGGACTTGGCACTTAGCGCAAGAAGGCGTCTCCAGCCTCCAAAGTGGGGTGTCCAGCTCCCACCGAGGAGTGGCCGGCCCTATCGAAGAGGGGTGTCCCCAGCCTCCAGAGCGTGGTGTCCAGTTCCCACAGTTGGGTGTCCGGTCCCCCCGAGCTTGGGGTTAGGCCTCCAGCGTGGGTGTCCGGC